GATTGGGGGCGACACTCCGATGGTCGTCCAAGCAATACACACCGAGCACACGCCGGACGACTTTGCGAGGGATCGGTAGAAGGAAGGGGGGAATTTGGACCATTTTCCGGTTCAAAGTCATCGTCCGGGTCAGAGTGATGACCACCCTAGGACCAACCACAAGTCAGAAGCGGAAAAAAGAAAAGTACAAAGTACCACTCACCCTTGCGATCATTTTGATCGGTCGCTGTCTTTTCTCTCCCCTCGGAGCAGGCATCGCTTCTCTTTTTTCTACATCTGAATCATCGGATATCACCGATTTGGACTTGAACAATTTTTTCTTCGACCCCAAGGGTCGCGGCAGTATGACGACCGTAACCGGTTGAGCTTTGGCAACAGGAGGTCTTTTCTGTCGCTTCTCCAACTCCTTTGCGGCTTTCTCCCATTCAACCCGGTTCTCCTCTACCAGTTTTGCATATGCAGCGCTACGAACATGCTCGTCCTCCGCTTCTGCCGCGGCTTCCTCTGCTCTTCACCACTCCTCCGCGATCCGACGCTCCTCAAGCTTTTTCTTCTCTGCTATCTCCTGTTCTTTCTTCTTCTCCGTTGCTACTCGTTCTTCCTCTACTTTCCTCTCCTCTTCCCGTCATTTTTCCTCCTCTATCCGTCATTCTTCAGCCTTTCGTTTTTCCTCCGCCTCTCGCGCGGCTTTCTCTTCTGCTTCGATTCTCCCCATCTCCGCCGCGAATTCCACCTCCTGTCTCGCGATCTCCTCCTCCCGGGCTCATTGTCGTGCGGCCTGAGTCTGCAGGATCCTTTCGCATCGCTGCTGGATGGTTTCGTTGTCATTGGAGGTGGTGGACATGATGGTCAACGAGGGAGGGAACTTATCAGAATTTATGAAACAGCCCTGTCTTTATATGCTTCGCGACTTAAGGGCCGTTTCAACTTACAATTTTCACTCTTCTTCGTTTTTCACATCACATCACAATTTTTAAACTTTGATCCCCGTTGCTTCTAATCATTCACATCTATTTTTAGTCATACTATTACTCAGGATCTCGAGGGCTCAATCCTAACGGGGGGGCACTGTTACGACCATGCCAAGTTCAACTCCCGTGGGCCCGACGATCATTCCCCGGTATTTGACTTTACTATTTTCTTCCATCGCGGAGTTTATCTCCGCAATCTTTTACACTTCAAGTTTATATCCCTCACACCTTAACTGATTCTTTATATATCCTTTTATATCATTCCCTTTATTCCCTTTATACTTACCCCTTTTATCTTCCACATGTTCGACCATACTATTCTAGGATACTATCGCTTAGCGACCCTTAGGTAGCGACTACAGTATAAAGCTACGAGAGTAGAATAGTTGGTCCTTAGTTTTAATATCGACTTTGATAGCGCACTTCGACAGTGTATCTCAAATAGAGTTAATCTCAAACCTCATCCTAAGTACGATCGCGTGAGTTTCTCCCACGATTGGAATTACCCTCACCTTTGCTTTCGGACAGCGGCGTGTCGGGGACGCTATTAATAGTAGTGTCAACGTCCGACTACCTCTCCGTAGGTTCACCTAACCCTCACCGGGATTTATCTTGGTGTTCGGTCTTTTACCCCGCGGACTTATAGTCCACGATCCAACTTATTCCCTACGACCGTGCATGATCATAACACATGAACTGAACTAAGAACCTGTAATGCATCACCTGTGAACTAAGATTTATCAAGCTCAGGGTGTAACACATGACACCCTGTGAACATACAGTCATATTCATACAGTAAACTTGGGAGCCATAGTCAAATCTTACTAATGTTGAACAGTGCCTGAAGGAATTTCATGTAAAATCCAATGAAACCCAAGCCTGTGGCTCTTCATCACATTGAAATACCTATTTCCCTGTTCCCAACAGAACTTTTTTGACCTTCCCCCCTCCCAACATCAAAATCAACACCAAATTAGGTTACGCGTAAGGTGTAAATCCCTTGCGAAGGATAAATGGATCCTTGGATTGAACTCGTGTAATCTCAATTCAGGCACAATGAATAGAAAAGGTTATGACTGCAGCTATTCAGTACAGTTATCTGCAAGGTATCCAATCACAGTTCTGCAATATATAGTCATATGTCGCTCTTCACGAATGCCCAAAAGTTTGCTATACACGACACGTCCTTTACCAATGTTGCAGGAGACCTGAATTACAACTTTCATCTTCGTCATGGAGAGGAAGAACAAGAGGATACCCGTGAGAATATCTGATTTTCACCTTCACCTCTGCTATTTACCAAAACTGGCTCGTAGCTGGTCGAGGCCTCGATATTTTATACCAAAACGTCGTGGCGGGGGCCTCTCATGATGCCGAGCAGCGTTTCCCTCCTCCAAACTGCTACCCAGGAACTCGAACTCAGATTCTTAAGATCCTGAAGAAATGGATCACCAACGACCATAAATCGACATCCATTTATTGGATTTATGGCGCGGCGGGCGTAGGCAAATCAGCAGTGGCTCAAACAATATCAGAAACCTTTGTGCAGCGCATCGTGAACGGGATCCCAGAAGGCCGTTTGGCTGCCAGCTTCTTCTTCTCGCGCGCAGACCTCACACGGAACAACTTATCCTTGTTTTTCACTACCATCGCACATCAGCTGGCAACATCTCCTCTTCTTGGACCACTTCTCGGGAGATACATTGATATCGCTATCCGCCGCAAGCGTAACATTGTGCATGCTGCACTGGAGCAACAATTCCAGGAACTGATAGTGAATCCTTGCGCCGAGTTACCTCCCGATAATTGGAAGAATCTTCCCCGGTTGATCATTATTGACGGTCTAGACGAATGCGTTGACATTGCATCCCAAGAGCGTCTGCTTTCTATCATTCGCCAGTCCAAAACAAACACTGATCCACCTTTCCCGTTCGACTTCCTTATGTGCAGTAGACCTGAACCTCGAATTCGCAATGCATTCAGCCATCCGGACTTTCACTCTATTTTGGACTGTAACGATCTTGGCGAGTCTTTTGAATCAGGAAGAGACATTGCTAGCTATCTTCGCAAGGAATTTGGAAGGATTCGACAAGGACACGGACGAACTATGGCGCATGTAGGACCTGACTGGCCCGGCGATGGGATCATCCAACAGCTTGTTCAAAGGGCGTGCGGACAATTCATCTATGCTGCTACTGTCCTCAAGTACGTCGGAGACTACCACGGTTTACCAACTGAGCAATTGGAAATCATTTTGAAAATCACTGTTCCCGACGACTTTGATTCGCCATATCCCGACTTGGATCTGCTTTACATGCAGATTCTTTCTATGTGTAAAGACAAGGAAATTCTTCTTGACGTCATGGCACATCTGTTGAAGCCTGGCCCAGGTATATTATTCGACGCTCGTCATGAAGCAATGACCGCTTTCTGTATCGAAGGACTATTTTTTCTTCCGAAAGGGAAGGCTCAGACGTTGTTCTTCGGCCTACACTCGGTCCTTGTCATACCGCCACGCGTCTTTTGTGGACTTTCTCACTGACCGAAAACGGTCGGGGATCTACTATGTGGACACAGGTCGTGAAGCTCGCCACGAGCAGATTGCGCTGTACCTGATTAAGCGCCTGGTCTATTTAATCAAGAATAATGACCGACTGAAGTAGTAAGTCTCGCCTCTTCTCTTCTATAACATCATCTTTGGTTGAGAAGTGCGTATCAGTATGAATTCCGGATTCAATTACTATGCCTTGACTCGCTGGACTTCCCATTGCTCAAAGGTGGAAAGCTCACCAGGCAGTCGTTTTCTTGCTGCTTTGGAAGATCTTGATCTTTGTGAGCTCTTGAAGACCCCTATACGATACAGAAGTTTAGAAGACTATATTCCTGTATTACAACAATGCATCAATATCGCAGACTGGGTCCGTTTTTATATCTCTACCATGCGTGTTATATTCCTTAACTGACTTGAACTATAAAGAAATCAAGTCATCCTCAACTGCAAAGACATATATCCCGATATCGACTGTTCAAGGACGGATTTCGAGTACAGATCCCAACTAGTCTACAAACTCGAGAGAGGGATGAAATGAAGATGGCTATATCGGTACTCAAATACCGTGTATGCTTGTACCAACCGAATATGTATCTCAGCACACTTGACTTGTACCGACCGAAAACTTCGTGGGATGTCATATCTGTTCTCATGAATCTTCAATTGAGCCCAGAAGATGTGCGCATCGTTCTGCGTTCTTTATGGCCATTCCCGACCATACTACCCCTAGACCCGGAATCGCAATCCAATGAGATGCGATCAACTGTCGACGCAGTGGTCGACGTTCGATTTTCAGAGTGCCACAAGGAAATCACATTACAATGCCTTCAAATTATTCGAATGGAGTCGCAGCATGCAAAGGATCGCATTATCTACGCCAAGTACGAGTGGATCAACCATCTTCTGAAGACTACACCGAGTAAAGAGACCTTGTCGGTTTTACTCAGAAATCTGTCTTTGTTACAATCTAGCGAAGACGCAGAGAAAGCTTTGGTATGGGTAAAGGTAATAAATGGCCTTCACTGTCTCGTTATTTTGGGTACTGAGACTTGGCTTATAGAAGTCGGGGCACTCTGGGTCACGAAATAAAGTCATCCAAGCTCTCACAGAACGCACGGTGGAGCTTGTGGATGTAGAAGAACGGAGGAAGCCTCATTCCAAGAGGTACTGCTTCTCGTGCATATGTATGTAAATTAACCCTTTCATCCTACATCGTTAGTTCAAACCCTGGTGTTCGCATCGATGATCAGGCTTGATATGTGCTTCTGGCATTGAGAGTTTGAACCACGGTAAAATTCATGCCCGCTGCCTGCAGTTCCCGGTAATTCCCTCACCCTCTTAATATCTCATACAAAGACCGTTGAGCCTTTCAACGGATACACTTATCCCTAGTTCAAAGTTCAATCAATAAGGGCAGAGGAAGATGAATTAAAAATTGCTACTAGTGTTTGAGAAAGTATTAGTTAAAAAATACAAATAGCCCACCGCGAGGGTCGAACTCGCAGCCTTCAGATTTCAACAGCAGCACCGCCTTAAAAGTCTGACGCTCTATCCGATTGAGCTAGGCGGGCTTTTGACTTTCAATGATAAGTAACATATATGTGTAATAGGAGCCTCATTCTTCCCGGATTCTAACACATGTACATTTACTTCGTGTTTATCTGTAACTTACACATCTCTATTCTCTTGTACAAGATCCACCACATCGCCAACCCCAATCTCCATCTGAGCAGGTCCTGGTTCAGGCGTAGCCATTAGTACCGAAGTTGGCGTCTGACTCTGTTGTTCCGTTGTTGCATCATGATTTTTCAGTCTCATCTCTACTAAAAACTCCTTGTCTCTGACTGCTTGCGACCACGATGCTAGCATCTCGCGAAGAATGACGAAGGTGTGCGTCAGACCCGCCAGGCAGAACAAGCTTGAATATACATATGTAACTGCGGCAAGGGTTGTGAATAGGTTATCATGAGACTATACACAGATAAACAACTCACAGAGGAAGTTATCACTGACATAGTCGCCCATGAGCGGGAAGAATTGGACCACTGCGCAAAATACGAGCCCCGGCAAAATAATCATACCAGTCAGGCCTCCGGCTACAGGTGCAATGACGTCCTTTGTTGCAGCAATCGGATCCGGGTGTGTCCATCCATTGCGCTTTATCTAGGAAAGACTTTGGTCAAGATGAGATATATAAGAATTTCGAAAAGCATACAATTTGTATACCCCTTGTTATTGGATTTTTTGCTTGTCTTCGAGTTGCCCGCATCGCGATCTTCATGTAGAGAAGACCGGTCGCCCAACATTCCAAGACCCGTATCCTTGGCACACCAATATCGGAGCTCATGCGAAACTTCAAGGGCAGTATGATATACAGTTCGACGACAACACCGACGAGGGTAGGAATCACAACTCCCAAGAAGAAAGCCATGTAAAAAGCTTTGACAATCCATAGCAATCCACGCTTTAGAGCAAGCCACCACAATGAAGCTCGAGGACCTTCAGTGCCCCATCTCTGTCTTCTCTTGTCGAGACGATCAACAGCTTTGCCAACAACCCAACATGCCCAAAGCATGTAGAACCCAGCAATGATAGAATATCCATCATGCACTTCTCGCTTTCCCTTGAAGATGATACCAAAGAGTCCTCGACCTATGAGAATAGGTAGCGCCACAGAAACTCCAAGGCAGAGAGCTCCAAAGGTCCACAGCATGAAAACGAAGAGGATCATTCGGTATCGGAAATATGGTGGAATATATACCATAGTGAAGTCCTTCTTGATACTATGTCTAGCTTTCACAGTTTCCGCATCCTGTTGAGCCATTAGATTCCTCGCTTCTTCGTTGACAGGCTCGCCGGTAGCTGTGACTGCTACAGTAGCTGGGATGTCCCGCGGGATAGCGATGTCATCTGTGTTGGGAACGCGCCTGAAAAACCCATCGTAATCGTCTATTAGCACGGGGGCGTCTTGGCTTGGTCCATGTATGATACGGGAAATCGACCACCCTTTTGGAGTGTACTCCTCCTCTCTATTACGTGCACCAAAGAAGTACGAGGTAAGCCGAAGCCGCCGAGCAAATCCTTTCCATACTATCATGGCGAATCTCCTAAGAGCTTTTCGAGGGCGGAAATAGGTCATGGTATATGGCAATGTAAGATTGAGGAATAGTAAGTCAATGGGGATATTAGACAAAGGCTCTCTGTGATTCTGATAAGGTACCGCGAGAAGTCAATATGATCAAGTACACGAACCTGGTTTTCCACCGGAAGGGGAGAACAACTTTTTGACCCAAGAACAACAGTGCAGAAACACTGCACACAGTGCATACGACCACAAAGGTGTACATCACGCCACTAATGCAAATTTTCCTGAGTTGAACTAGAGCAGCTCGCTCCAGAATATCGCGTATGGGATGCGCATTCTGATCCTGTGGATCTTTGATGAACCACATCCCACCAGGACGCATTATACTTCGACATCCGGAGAGCAACACAGCGAATGAATACCTACAAGATAGAATGAGCAAGTGACGCATAATGAAGGGTGAAGAAACTAACATAAACATTGTTCCTGCTACCCAGTGATAGAATGTTGTGGTAAATGGAGCTTGATAGAGGAATTCCATTCTTGAAGCATATGAAGCATTGGGGAAAAACCATATTGTACACATATCCAAAACTACACCACATCCGAGCGGAAATGTAATCAGTTCGATGAAGATGAATGACGCAACCTGAAGGTTTCAAAGTCAGACTTGAGGGACGATAGTAAAAGAAAAGATATACCTTCAGGACAACCAACTGTTGTTTCACCGCTACTCTGACAGCTCGACCTGCAGTTTTGACATTACCAATCGTCAAGATGTTCATGTAGATTGCCAGAGCGGTCGCAATAATACAATATCCAAAAAGAACTGAGAAGGTTCTCTCGGCTGGTCCGTTACCAACTGCAAGCTTAGTCCAGACTTCACCGAACCGTTCGTACCCTTGACGAACTTCTCTTCCTAGAGATGCAAAATATGGCTCAATGTGACCGATCGCGACAAGCAAGGTTTGTGGCAAGATGGATGAGTCGACAATGAGTTCAGGGGTTGAATCAGCAGCCACCTGAGCAGAATTTTCTCCAAGGCCAATGGTACGAATAAACCAGTCAAGGGAATCTTCCAAGAGAGAATACTAAGTTAAGGTAAATTCAATTTTTAACATGAAGAAGAGGCACGAGGTATACATACTGTTGCTAGGCAATATTCTCGCGCTTTGTTTGCATTCCCTTCTCCAAGTGATTCAGAAATAATCCAGAAAGATTGTTGCACAATCCAAGATGTCAGATTCTTGAGGAGTTGTATGTGAGGCGGTAGCACGACGTCGAGGATGAAGTATGCCACCAGATCCACGGCAGGATCGGTCAACAAACGAATGGCGCGAATTGGAAGGTGTAAAATGAAGAGCAATTGCCGAGGTTCCAGCTAATTTGAGTAGCAAGCGTTAAGCAGGAAGGACAAAAACCTAAGATGTGGTGCTTACCAGGAGAAAGGCCATTGATTTCCCAAGTGTGTAGGGTATCCAGATCCCCAGTCCGATAACGGTGTCCATGATGATTATCATGAGGACTGCATTTTGTAGAAGACCATATATTGGGCCTCGTAACCCGATCGCTGGTAGAAGTACATCTCCTTTCAGGACGATATCACACAGATTGCGATTATGATAACATACTGACCTTCCAGTGCTCCTTCCATGTCATCCTCAACTCCAGCCTCTAATTCATCCATCAACAGCGCATCATCTGCATTCATTGGCTGGGGACCTTGCTGAGGTTGAGGAATAGCTTGGGGACCTGCCACAGGAGCCAACGCCAACGGGGGAGGAGCATTAACGTCAAGTGGGACCGCTCTTCGGACACCACCGGCATCGAAGGCGACAGCTGCGCGAAGCGGTGCACGTCGTTGTCGCAATACGATCTCGTCTTCAGGATCTTGATCTTCGTCTTCTTCCTCGTCTTCTTCTTCGTCTTCGTCTTCGTCTTCATCTACTTCTAAATCTGCTGCATTGTGATTTTCCCGAAGCAGTAGAACACGAGGTTCCTCGCGTTGTTGTTGTGCGTTACGGACTTCTGGTTCGAATAAATCTAACATCGGAGGTTCCGGTTCCAGTTCAGTATCGCTTTCGCCTTCATCCGAGCCATTCAATCCTTCCTCCCTGAAATACGTCCTGATCTCCTCATCTATCTCACTATTATCCGAGAACGATGGCAATGTATTTTCTTCGCCCCCATTAAGCACATGCCCGTCAAGTGTTTCCGCGTCATCTTCTTCGTCATCCTCGACAACCTGTTCACCTACTGGGCTTAGTGCACTGGTAGAAGGACCTGCGAAATAGCCTTCGTTCTCTAAGTTAGCTAGCTCTTCTGGCGCTCGGTACGTGGCTAGATTAGGGGAAGCGAGAGGTGTCTTTACCCTCGGTGAAGATGTTCCAGAGCCAGGGGAACTAGGAAGAGTGGTTGGAAGCGCGGGTCGACGTATGGGGGTCCCAGGTCTCGATACACTTGTATTCAAAGATGGAAGATTGGTGGGTATCAAGGACGGAGGGACAGCGTCAATACCAGAATAGAGATTAGGTATTGGAGATGTTGGTGGAGATATAGAGGGTGCAGACGAAGCATTTGACGATTGAATATGAGAGCTTGATTCATGGGGAATGAAGGAAGGCGACGCTGTAGCAGTAGAATCATCGCGGTCCGGTGGAGGGTAAACAAAGGAAAATGGAATACTTCCGTTCGGAGGTTCAAGTTTGACAGTAGGAAAGAACGAAGACGGCGGAGATGGGGTATGAGTCATAGTTGATGTACGCTCAGGAGACGGTTGGGTAGTTGGTAGAGCGATTTCCTGGTCTTGCCTTCGGCTACTCCCACTCTTCCTCGCTAATTGCAGCCTCCTGCTGAACTTGCGCTTTTGCATCCTCTCCAACCGCATAGCTCGAACAAGAATCTTCCCTTCGATATCTTCTTCCCCTTCCTCTTTACCCTTGCCTTTTTCCATCCTACGCATTCTCACCCTCTTGGTAGCAGCTCTATCCAATTCCTTCTCGAATTCCTCGCTACGAGCAGGTGCAACTGTAACAGCAGAGAGCCCATTCCGCGCGGCCAAAAGTTCCCTTGCCCTCTTTTCATCTTCGGTCAACAACCTCTGCTCCCGATCAACGGCTCTAAGAGCATCAAGCGCCCGAACAGCCTCAATTTGACGATGTGCCAAAGCAAGTCGAGCGTTGAGGTCCATTCTTTGAGCTGCTGGACGTCGAACTGCTTCGGGTTCGGGTTGGGGGATAGGTTCTGGAGCAGGAGGAACTTGTAGGATATCCTGCCCAACATTCTCATCGTCGTCGAATTGACCAGGCCGAGCATTTTGAGCTATCCATTCGCGGAGAAGGAAGATAGCGACAAAAGTAATCACAATAAGGGACGCAATGATTTGTCCAGTAAAGATGTCGGCGGATATAGAAATCCATGCTGGATGCCTGACGACTCGGCCAAGTACTGTGGAATATTCGGATGGCGGTGTGGCATCCTCGGAAA